TGGATGTGTATGTATGTCCCTTTGTTTTATCTTAAGTGATTACTTAAGATAAAACTTAACCCAATGCCTCTGGAAAAAATTAATCAAAAATGGTGAAAATGCTGTGCCTATTTTCTATATTTTTGGTGAAATGTCTGCCCATAGATGGCTCTGCTAGTGCTTAGCCACAAAGGAGTCAGTTAGTGGACCTTGTGACTGTACCTGATATGAATTCGCGCAAAAGACATATTTTTACTGGTGCTATAAATATAGATGGTGTTATTTTTATTATAGACTTTATAATTACTATAATGTTATAAACATTAGTAACAGCAAAATAAGATAACATAAAATATTTTCATAAATCAAAGAAAAAGGAAAAAGGGTGAGACTGGCAATACTCATAACTGGCTCATTGGTGGCTTAGTACAAGTGTAGCCATCTATCCGTAGAAACAATCAAACAAGTAACTCACAGTGGGCACAGCACGTCATGCCTGTTGGCATTGGGTAAAGTTCATGTTACTGGTAATTTCAGATTCTGCCAGACTTATGAGGCCTCAGCTACAAGACTGTACCAGAATGGAAGAACAGAAACTGTGCGATCATGCTCAGAGGATGCTGCTGCGTTTGTGAGGTAAGAGATAATGGGTTGGATGTGTATGTGGAAATATCTTTTTCGAATACAGAATAGTTGCATTCTGAGAGTTTGCAGATAACACTGATATGACATTGGTAGATTATTTTTGAACTGTAATATCATGATTTAGAAATATTTAGGTATATATGTACATTTTTGTTTCTCATCAAAGAACAACTACAAATAGCACACAACTGAACACATCACTTCACAAAATTTACAAATCAGATCAACAACCAAAATCAGTAGAAAACTCAAGAAGTGTTAGATGAAGAGACCACTCTTTCAGGACTTGTGCTTCTTTATAGACAATTTTGGTGTGAAGAGGCAGCCTTCTTTTATGTCACCAGAGTTGTAAGTTTCTGCTTTCAGTGCTCTTGTAAATTGTATGTGCAACATGAAATTGTAACTGATAAATATGGTTAGTATTCAATAAAATCTAGATACTACTGAATGAGCACTAGCATGTTCTTAAATTAGTCATGATGTTGAGGACATTGATCAGAAGATATAAGTTAAAGTGACATAATTAATTTTAGCTTAAATAGATAAGCACTCATTGCATGTTTTTAGCAAAGCAAAACATTAATGATCAAAGATACAGTTTATGAGCATATTGAAAAATAGGAAAAGATAGGAAAACTACATAGTATAAAGATACATGTAAAGTAATTCTTTTGGAAGCTGTGGAATTCAGACGGATTCTAGTTTTGTAGAAAATTTCAGAAATGTTTGTTTGCAAGATTATTTCTGATATATGTTGAAAAAATGGGTAGGGGGACTAGTTCCTCAAAGATATTTGCTTTATATGTTCAATGCTTTAAAAGTTTCCCTTACCATGCCCTATTTACACTATTTTTCCATTGACTCATACCATAATCCCATCTTGCTTCTTTATTTCAAGTCTGGTTATTTCTCAGGGATATACCATACATTGAAAATGACAATTCCTGAGCTGGAGATGTGGTAGCATCAAATAGGAGTGTTGTTATAGGATATTAGGTAACACAACAACAACACAAAATTCTTTTATGTTTGCACAAAAATTGTCCCTTTGTAGACTTGATCCATGAAGATATCCATGAAGTTTTGGAGGTGTCTTAGGATGCCACCAGTAAGATAAAGGATATGCTATAGGCACCTTGATCAAGACTGCTTTATGAAGAATGGAGTCAGGTGTTACCTCACCTGAATATTCCTTGAAATGATCACAGTAGAGATAGTGGGTCAGTTTTAAGAGCAGTATCATTTAAGCACTTAGCACATACAGATATATAGAATATTTGTTTTTTGTATTTTTCACCCAGGAGAAGAATATGATCAATGCCCTTTTCATATGAGTGATTAAGATCAAGTTAAGCTCTAGATGAAATGAGTAAAAATAGCATTTGTAGAAAAAATCTGTTTACACTATTTAAGATTTAGATTAAGGCAGTTTTGCAACATCTGTATAAAAAAAGTGATCACAATCACAGCAACACACTCATCTTGGAAAAATTTAGAACATGAAACCTAAAGCCACTTAGTTATTTTTCTAAACTGACCTGGGGATTAAATTATTAAAAGCAAAATCTTTGAGAAATTTACAAAAGTAAAAAGGATCTTCATCATTTTCTTGCTGTGTAATAGGATTAAGCTTATGCTTGCACAAGTCTACTTATTAGTATTCAAATTGAAAATTGTACCAATAGAGGTCTCATTACACTTTTTACTATCAGTTCATTATTAGGCAGTATTTTGTATAGAACTTCTACCCTCTTGCTTGCCCAAATATAGTTATACTGGAGCATTTCTCATTTATGCATAATAGACTACAGTACAAATTTCTTGATTTGAGAAGATTGACCTATTGGATCTTTTCCATAGAGCAATGGTTAGCGGGAAATTGCCGAAAGAGAAGCTATTGCATTTGCTGAGGGTGGCTGGAGAACGACACCAGAAGCTGTACCGTGATGCAATGAATGGCAAAGGGATTGATCGCCACTTGTTTGCTCTATATGTTGTGTCAAAAGGTCTTGGCTATGTAAGTTGCTTCATTTTTGTCTGAAATGTTTTCTTAGACAGTCCATGCTGCAATCTTAAATGTAATAAAAATTGAAGTGAAATATATAGTATTTGCAAGATTTATGATACTAATCATTAATAGTTTCCTCAAAATGATTTATACTTGCTATTTGCATCACAGGAAAGTCAGTTTCTTGAGTCTACTATCAGAAGGCCTTGGACATTATCAACATCCCAGCAGCCTCAGCAACAGATTCAGGCAAATACTCCTGACATAAACTTGGAGCCTTTTCGGAAAATGGTAAGAAAACTAAGATTGATAGCTTAATCTTAATGATTCTGCTGGGATCCTTTTGTTAGTTGAACATCATAATATCTCTACTGCATGTTCTTTTGGAGAAGATAGGATTAGATTGGTAACTGTGTAAAAGAAGGCAAACAATATTTATCCTTTCCATATATACATAAATAGGAAAAAGGTAGATTTTATTTGAAATTCTAAAGTTGATTGGCTCTACTTAGATATTACATAGATATTAACCCATTCGCGCCGGGTGTCACGTATACGTGACAGGCGCACTGTGAGTTTACTTGTTTAATTGTTTTCACACATAGATGGCTGCACTTGTAATTGTACTGCCTGTCTCACCTGTTTACCCTTTTCTTTAATTTATGAAATTATTTTGCGTTATTTTATTTTGTTGTTACTAATGTTTATAACATTATAGTAATTTTAATGTTTATAATAAAAATAACCATCGATATTCGTAACACTAGTAAAAATACATTTGCCCGCCAATTCAAGTAAAGGTGAAATCAGGTAAGGCAGAGCCATCTAGTGTAGAGAAATTTCATAAAAAAATATAAAAAATGAGCACAGCATTTTCCCCATTTTTTGTTCATTTTTACCCGGCACAAATGGGTTAACTTCAAGCTCAGTTAAAAATTAATGCTTATTTTTCTTTTCATTTCAGTGCTCTCCTGGTGGAGGATTTGGACCAGTGTCAGACGAAGGATATGGTGTTTCATACATGTTACCTACAGAGTATAATATCTTTTTCCATGTGTCATCCAAGAGGTCTTACCCAACCACTGACTCGAGGAAATTTTCAGATATCTTGTTTAAGAGTATGGATGATATGCGACTCCTGTTTGACAACACAAAACTTGAGTAATCATAGGAGTGACTTACATAGTGTATGAAAAAAAATATTGTTACAAGCCTGCAAAAATGCTTAGCCCATTGACCCATGGATGGCATGTATATATACCATGTACATTATGTTTCTTGTTTATTAGTTTGTTTACACATGTATGACTCTAAAAGTGTTTAGTCAGGAAGGAGCTAGGTACTGGGCCTACTTAATCCCAGTTCTCTATCCTATTACTTGAGTTTTTGGAAAGAAAGGACTTTATTTTTATTTCTTCTAGTATTGTTAATAATGTTATAATAATAATGTTTATAAAGATAAAGGCTATTAGAAATCAATACTTTTCTCCAGAAATTCAAGAAATGGGGTAGATGGGGAAGGTCATTTAAAGCTAGTAACTGACTCCATGGTGAATAAACACATATGGAGCCATGAATATATAAACAAAGTTGACAAAACAAAACTACAGTGGACAGAACATGTACCAAGGGCCAGTGGGTTAAGGGTAGTCTTTCAGTAATTTTATACCTTTGAAAATTGTGTTACAAATATACAATTTTCATTTTTTAATCTAGCAGTGAAGCTCTCTCATTAAATAGGCAACTTGAGATTAGTTTATAAGACATATAAAACTCTGAAAATTAACTATTGCTCCCTAGTCACTTCCCTTAGCTATGGTGGAAATCTATTTTACTGACCAATCATGAAGTATATTATTGTGTATTACATTTTAATTCATGGCTCTTCCATTGTGTGAAGACAATTATATATACATACACATTTAAATTTTCTAAAGATATATATATATATATAAATTAAAATTTAATATTAAAATGTAGTCTTTCTCAGTGGAGTTTTTCAAGATTTAGTTTATCTGCTGTTTTATAATATACAATTATCATGTCGGTGTCCAGATATTTCAGAGAGTGATATTCTTTTCTCTTTATACATGGTAAGTTGATCTGGTAGAATTCCTTTGTTAATTTCATTATACTAAAATAGCTGGTTTAGTCCATTATTTGAATGTACAATATGGAGTTGTAAAGACATGCAATATAATTTTTAAAGAAACAGTAGATGTTATGTAAATGAGTTCATGCAAAATTTTATGTGGCCCTTTTCCTATACTTTTAGTAATGATAGAAGCAGTTATACCACAAAGATACTGGTTTTATCAATTTTCTCTTCAGACAGAGCTGGCCTTTAACCATGTTTGGTTGAAACCAA